GTATCAGATTGTTCCATCTCATTTCCCTTTGGGGTTGCTATAGGTGATCCAGAAGTCTGTTTTTGAGGCTTGTTTATGTGTTTTCTCATTTCCACGGGGGGCAGGTGCTTCTGGAACCCATGTGGCTTACCTTCTCTGCCCTAGGAACTTGGGATGGCGGAGGGGGAGTTTCCTCCCAGGTGCTTGGACCGGCTGAGCTTCTCTGCCCTAGGAGCCTGGGATGGAGGCGGGGAGCTTCCTTCTGGGTTCTCCCTCTTCCTGTTCTTTCTGCTGCTCCTGCTCTTTCTCCTCTTTCCATCTCTCCTTCTCTTTTTCTTCCTTCTCCTTATTTTTCTTCTTTGAAACCTGGTCTTGCTATGTAGTTCAGGCCAGCTTTCAACTCTCTAAGTAGTCCAGACTGACCCAATCATGCAGTCCTCCTGGCTTGGCCTCCTGTGTGGCCCTCCTTCTTGATCAGGCTTAAAGTAACATGGTTTAACAATATTTAGGAATTATGATGGGAGGGGCCATGTGCCGCAACACAATCGATCTCTGGTACATAAGTGAAAAATCTACATTTCAAGGTAAATCCTAGTGTGATTTATAGTGTGGTCTACTCAAGTTGAGGTGGTCATAAAACAGTCAGTTTAGGGAGTGTCATACACACTCAGGCACCAGGGAGATATTCTTAATGTGTAAGGACACTGAAAACATATCACCCCTGAGCTCTCATTGGAAATGTATAAGCGAGGAAATGAGAAGAAATAAAAATTTAAGTTAAAAGAAAAAAAAAACACTCACCATGAGGGTCATAATAGGAGAGAAATAAAGAGAGAAAGTGTTCACTATAGGATTCAGTTTAAACTGTGGTAATAAATACCACTCCAGAATGGAATTGTAAGTGTTAACATTCTTCAATATGATAAGCCATGATAATACAATTTTTAACTGGTGATATATTTATTTTAATTTTTTTCTTGAAAAAGCAGGAGAAAAAATGCTAATATACAATTAAAATGTAATGGGATACAAAATGAAAATACAGTAGAGCTAAAAATAGAGATAAACCTAAATATAAATGTCTGTTCCCTTCTCCCAAAAATGAAGTTCAAGAGGAAGAAACGATAAAGACAGAAACAGAAGTAGAGAGAGAGAGAGGTGGAAAGAGAGACCAAGTCAGAGAGAGATGGCGATGGAGAAAGTGAGACACAAAAGGGCAGAGAAAGACAGAGATGGAAAGATGGAAAAAGAGAGAGAAGCAGAGATAGGCAGGGTGCAAAAGTACAAATCTGTAGAAATGAGAAAGTGTCTATAGTCATACATAAGAAGGAAATAAAATCTTAAAGGTGCTTGAGTAAATGCTATCTTTTTAAATTTTAAAGTTGGTATGAAATCCATGCTCAAAATATCAACTCATAAATTAAGAAAATTTAGAGTAATGAAAAAGACCATTTTTCTGAAATGATTTAATATACACTTGAGGAACCATGCTTCCAAGAATGCAGGCGATCCCTGCACACAATTGTTGATTTCTTTGCCCTCGGTCTATTGAGCCTGCTGTGTTTTCTTGTGGGCTTCATGAGTAGATCAATGGCATTTGAGACAGAGGGACATGCTCAGAGGGATAAAAGAAAGGAAGTGTGAGCTGTTGTAGTTGGAGCTTCTCCATGCTTGCTAAACTGCTGTTGTCAACAAGTATGACTGTGGAACCAACCCGGCCAAGAGTGGAGGAATTACCTGGAGGTACCTGACTCAAGCAGAAAGTCATCCTTAGAGGAAATGGTCCCCAGATGTGCATGACCATGCCTACATGCAAAGGACAGTTTCCAGTGAAACAAAAAGGTGTAGAATTCAAGCTACGGCCACCAGGCTAAACCCAAACCTAAAGTTATTTTAGGCCATGTTTTCTGTCTATGGTTGGTTGGATCCAAGGCAGGACCAACATGGTGGTATGGGGTGGTAGAGGAAAGCTGCCCAACACACAGTGGCCAGGAAGCTGAGAGAGAGAGAGGGAAAGAGAGAGAGAGAGAGAAAAGAGGGGTCAGCCACACCCCCAGTGGCCACCTTTTCCAGCCAGGCTCTACCTCCTAGAAGCCCGCTTAGCTATGGATTCATCAGTCGACTAATTATTAGATATCAGATGTGTTCATGGTGTCCCGATGAGGTCACGATCTTAAGCTGCAAAAAGAGAAAAGGAGCACAGAGAATGTTCTAGAACTCCTCTTTGGTGCTTGCTTTGCATGTTAATGAGGTGAAAATGCTTTCAGAGCTTCAGGAGACAAGTCCCAAGCAGTGGCATGATCCCACTGACACAGAGGAGCAGCTGCGGCAGCATAAGCAGTTGCTCTGGCAATTGCAAAGTCGTCAAGGGGAAAGAAAAAGAAGTGATTTATTAGCTACTACTTATGAATAAAAGTCATTATTTTGGCAGATGTCATGAAAAATTTAATTGGGTCATTTTTGATAACCCCTGACCACAGGCTAATCCATTTGCCTGCCAAGGAATACATTTAGCCAATAATTTATTCTGGAAAGTTTAGAGAGAGAAAAATATTGCTTCAAAATTATGCTTCTATAATATAGCATTATTGAGATTTTTCTTTTTCCTAAAGGCAAGGTCGGTTACCGATAATCCCTGCTATTAAAAGAAAAAATTTCAACCTAGGCTACACTCAGCAATGTAAAAATGTGGCAGCAATACTTGTGTTTTTTCCGTTAAGTCATGAGTGGTTTTTCGGGGGATGACAAACACCTAGCAATTGAGAAGTTACCATTCTTCCAGGTACTGATGGCTCTTAATTTATGGGTCCATTTATTCATTCAGAAAACATTACTGGAACTTCACTACAAACTTCAAATTAGTGGCATTTGTTATGGCCATGGTTTGGATCTAGCATGCTCCACTCCCCCAAGACTCGTGTGTTCAGAAGTTGGGCTTTTTGAAAATGACTGGGTCATGCAGAGGTTGTACTCATGGGAGGATTAGTCAACTGATGAATCTGTGGTTAGGTAGGAGGTGGGGTCTGATTGAAAGAGCTGAGTCAATGGGCATGTGACCTGGAAGAGTGGATCTTCCTGCCTGGTTCCTCCCTCTCTCTCTCTCTTTCTCTGGCCACTATGACATGAGCAGCTTTCCTCTACCATGCTTTTCTGCTATGATGTTTCTTCCTTGGAGCCAAAGAAACATGGCCCCAAACAAATTATGAGTGTTGGGCCACTGCATTCCCAACAAAGAAAAGAGTAGAGTGACCAGTCCTTGAGGAGTAGGCTCCTTCCAGGGAGGAAGAGTGAGGAGAAATAATTCTATGGAGAAGTAGAAGCTGAGGACTCTGGATGTGGCCACTTCCAGACATCTTGGAGAACCTGGCTTTTTTGGACTGGAAAGAAATAGTAGCCATTGCAGGCTTTGAGACGATGACTAAGATAACCGCATGACGGTGTACTTACATTTAAGGTTCATCTGAACAGTTGGGCTGCGAATACTCGGTTTGTGGAAGATGAATCAGAAGGTGTCTGCAGTAATCAGGATCAAGAAGGTGCACTGGGCCCAAAGTCAAGAGCTAAGGGCAGGTTGGATTTTGAAGACACAAAAATTCAGAGAGGCAATCTGTCACTCTAAATTCATGTAGACAATGGGAGAAGCACCGTGTCAACTCAGATACACACTTTAGCAAAGTCCTTCGAATTCTTTCTATAGTGAGGATATTTATAAGGTGTTTGTGGATGTAGCCAAATTTTGCTGCCCACCCAACAACTTTTCTGCAGCTAATCCTCCCCCTGGAATCCAGTCTGCATCCAGCCTCTTAAAACTCACCCAAAGATCTCACCTGAAGAAAGCTGCCTTCTTGGAAAGGGTAAAAGGGAATAGGGTGAGGTTGGTCAAAGGGTACAGTGTTTTCAGCAAATGGGAGCAGTAACTTTTCGAGATCTATAGCAGTTTATAATAGCATATATTTCAGAAATAGCTTTGAGTAAATTTCCAATGTGTCATCACAAAAATATTGCAAATTTAGGGGACACATATGCAAATGAACCTCACCGAAACATTCTGAAATGTGCGTGTGTGTATATATATGTATATGAAAACTTTACAGTGCATCACATAAATGTATACAATTATGACTTGTTCATTAAAAGCATGAGTGAAAACTGAAAAGAATGGTGCAAAATCCAGGAAGATGAGAAAATCAAGTTCTAGTGTTCTGCAGCACAGTAGGTTGATTATAGTTAGCAAGAATTTATGGCAGGTGTCTCTAATCTGTTCCATCTGTATCTACAGCTGATCCACATAGCTGTCATCCCTGACAGCTCTGCCTCCAGTCAGATCAGTGAACTGCATTAGATTCTCATCAGAGCTTCACCCATACCATGAATTGTGCATTTGAGGAATCTTAATTGCATGCTCCTTATGAGAATCTAATGCCTGATGAACTGAGTTGGAGCTGAGGCTGTGATGTTACCCCTGGGTAGTGGGTGCACACAGACCATAAAAAATCAACGACATGCAGACTCAGATCACCAGTTTCAATGAGTCCCAAATGATTCTGTATTAAGATGAGCTGTGTAATTATTTCATTATATATTGCACTATAATAATAGCAATAATGTGCTTGATAAATGTAGTGCTCTGAGTCACCCACAAACCATTCTTCTCATGCCGTCCATGAACAAACTGTCTTTCGTACAACTGGTCCCTGGTGCCAAAGAAGCTAGAGATCACTGACTTATGAGTTACCTCAAAATAGGAGAGAGGAATTTGAAAAACCCCCAAACAGGGAGGTGATACATGTTTGAGGTGATGGATGTATTAACTGTCCCAATTTGATCATGATATATTGTATGTATGTATCAAAATATCACATTGTACCCTATAAATATACAGTGGACCCTTGACTTATGAACTCAATTTGTTCCTGAGAGCTGGTTGTTACTCAAGTTGGTCTATAGAAGTCTCAGGCTCTCTATACAGCCTTCAGAGTCTCTCTCCTGTACACAGGCAGAGCTCAGGGTCCTTAGAGAGAGCCTGGCCCAGGGTTTCTCAACAGACCCCACACAGGAAGGGATGTTGTCATGTTCCTTCCAGAACTCTTTAAGGGTTAAGTCTGTATCCGAGACCATCTGGAATCACAAGCAGCTGGCAATCAGGTCATAACTCAAGACTTTGGTACTAAGTTAAAACAAAAATTCTGATCATAAGCCAAGTGTTTTGTATGTCAGGCAGATCATAACTCAAGAGTCCACTGTACAATTAAAATATTTGTCAGTTAAAATTTTATTTATTTATTCAGTTGTTCATGCAGTAATGGGGATTTAACCCAGGGTCTTCACATTGAGCTATATTCCCAGCTCTTTTTTTTTTAATTTTTATTTTGAGATAGGGTCTACATAAGTTGTTACATTGCCTAGGCTGGGCTTGAAACTGCAATCCTCCTGCCTTCAGCCTACCAAAGTGTTGGAGTTACGAGCATGCACTCAAAATTTGTAAAAGTCTACTGCTTTAGATTTTGCCGCAGCGAAGCAAGCAAAGGTAAGCAAATGACATAGTGGCTACCACCTGGAATAAGGAGAATCCAGTACACAGAGCAACTACAAACCAGGTTTCTGTTGCATGAATCCTATAAATGTAAGGATAGAACATGGATTGCAAACAGATTGCAAATGAACAAATCCTACTAGCATCAATTGGCTGCTGGAACAAATTGTCTACATGCCATCCTGGGGCTCCCAACTGCAATGTGTTCTACAAGGAAAGAGCATATTTAAGATCATCCTCGTGAGCTTGTTTTGCTCTGTGAACCTGTGGTACACAGGGATGGAGTGCATTTGGTGGACTCCCAACAGCATTTGATGGTTCCCAGAGTAACAGTTCCGCTCAGAGAAGGGCGAATTCTTTTCAGAAAAGTGAAGCCTGCACTCTGTTAAAAAAGACTGAAGTGTAGGGCCACAGATTTAGCTCAGTCAGCGGCACCGTGCCTGCCTGGCAAGTGCAAGGTCCTGAGTTCGATCCCCAGTACAAAAGAGAGACAAAGGTGCCATCTTCGTGGTTCAGGCTGCCTTAGGCTGAGACTACCCATAGTTGGACACTTCCGTCTAAGGTGCCTTCTTGTCCAGATGTTTTCCATGACCAGCTCCCACCAACATTGCAAAATTTTGCCACGCATTGCTTCAATTTTTAAAAAATGATAATACAAGGCCATTAAAAATGCTGAGGAAACTGAAATTGTAAAGCCGTAACATAACAAAGTGTATTTATTTTTCCACCCTTCCTCTCTTCTTTACATATGGACTCATCCTATATAGATCTTCCATATAAATAAATTGAGACATGGAAACTGGAATGCTTCGTGTATAGCCATCCTTCCTTATGTGTGGGGTTTGTGGTCCAAGAAACACAGTGGATATCAGAAACCCCAGATAGTACTGAACACTATATGGACATTGGCTTACTCTCGTATTCATTTATATGTATGTATACACTGGCTTTTTTTTCCTCCTGTGCAGACATATGTATGATAAAGATTAATTTCAAACTTAGTCCCAGTATTAGATTAATGTAATGTAATAATACGTACTAATCAAATAGAACAGTTAGAGCAAAGTGCTTTAAGAGAAGCTAAGTCAAAGTGTCCTCTCTGTCTCTTTCTCTGTGTGTCTCTCTCCCCCTTTCTCTATTGCATGCACTGCTTCGTATTTTAACAGTCCAGCCTTATTCATATTCCACTTACACATCAGAAGTATGCAGCTTGCTTATGCACATGCATTTAAAATTGTCCATGTCCCTTAAACTTTATACTATTTGGAGTCTCTGTTTAGGGTTTCAGAAGACTTGAATGCTTTGGAACCACATTCATGTTGACAGTTGAGCTCTTCCCCACTCACTCCCACTATTGTGTCATATTCTATGCGTACCTCTGCCACAGTTCACTCACCCATTTGAGGTGGAATATTTACTATAGTTTGATTTTGCATTCAATTCTCCACTGAGTATTCATACACAAGTGTCTTTGAGCAAAAAACATGAAAGAACAGATTGTTGAATGCAACAGTATCTGTAGCCTTCATTTCACCAGTTATCCCCAGTTGCTCCTCACAGTGTTGACAGCTATTAAAACCCCAAAAGCCAACTGGTTCTTCCCACTCCACAATCAACCAAATTTGACTTTTTGGATAATAAACACCATTTTTTCCCTACTTGCTTGTTTGCTTTTTGGGGATAAATTGAAAATTTTTGTTATGTTTGTTTTCTCTGGGTGGGAATTACACACTTTTTTGTCTTTTTCTCTGGGTTTCTTTTTCTTTGGTGTGTTGCAGCATAAACGTGTCATCTGGTGAAAATTTCTTTGGCTGGATCCTTATAAGAGTTGCACCTCTGGTATTCCCCAAATTCTATAAAATTCCCACCTACTAGTATCCATTCCTCTCCCTAATTTCTCTCTAGTTTCTCCTCTACAAATCCATAAGTCTTTTATCATCAGTGAGTCTTAGCTTTTCTTTCATAGTTTGCAATTCACTTTTCTCTTGGTTCCACCTACGAGTAATTTTTTTCAGAAGCATTATCCATTGCCATCTTACAATTCATTGGAGTTTATCTTTAATTATCTACTCCATTAGCTGGGGATGTAGCTAAGTGCTGCCATGCCTTCCTGGCAAGCACAAGGTCCTAAGTTCAATCCCTGGTACTAAAAAAATTAAAAATCTACTCCATTAAAGTACTGCAAGACTAATAGTGATATATTAGTAGAGGATTATTTACTCCTTTACAGTTAAGAAACAGTTCCAAAAATTTATTGAGTGTCTACTGTGCTCTGGATGGAAATATAGGAATAAAATATGAAATAAAAACTATTTCCAATGGACTTTTTTATCTTATGGGAAAGATGTAATGAACAAATATGTATGAAAAATAGGTGAGTGGTAGACTAGGTTGAATATGACCTCCTGAGTCCCTGAAAATCAGGTCCTAACCTTTGGAATCAGGAAATGTTACTTTGTCTGGAAATAGGGTCTTTGGAAATGTGATTAAGGATCTGAAGTTGAAGAGATAATCTGAGTTATCCAGGTTTATACAAAAGGTAATTACATGTGTCCTTATAGGGGAAGGTGGAGGGACATCTGACATGTACATAGTGAACAGGACAATGTGAGACTGAGGGGAGAGATCTGAAGATGTTGGTATTGGAGACAGAGGAATAGGGCCACAGCCAAGGGAGCCCAGAGCCATCAAGAACTGAAGAGGGAGGGAGGAACCTCTCCTGAACCCTTTACAGGGACTGGGATACAAATGTAGCGTGATGAATGGTGGCCACCAGAAGATATTTCCATGTTCTGACCCCAACCCCTGTGACTGGGACCCTGCTTGGAAATAGCATCTTTGCAAATGGAATTAATCAAGAGATGAGGTCATCCTCGAACAGGGTGGTCCTAAATCCAGGGCCTGTGTCCTCATGAGAGACAGAAGGAAAGACACAGAGACAGAGGAGAAGCCACATGAGGATGGAAGCAAAGACTGGAGTGATGGGACCACAGCCCAGGGCTACCTAGAGCCCCAGGAGGTGGCAGAGGGAGTACAACCCCCTTCTGGGGCCTGTGGAGGGAACACAGTCCTGGGACATCCTAATCTGTGATTCCAGTGCTCAGAAAAAGGAAATTTCTGTGGACATTTAAGTGTCCTCAGTCTGTGGTGGTTCGTTAGGGCATCCCTAGGAAGCAAATATAGGCAGCCAGAAATATTGTAAAGAAAATGAAAGTTAGGTAAGAAATAGGCAAAGGCTGGGGATTTAGTTCAGTGCTGCTGCACCTGCCTGGTAAGCACAAGGTCCTGAGTTTGATTCCTGGTACAAAAAAAAAAAAATGATAAGAAATAGGCAGTGCTCGGGGGTTCAATTTCAGATAAAAGGGAGAGGAAAAACATCTTTGAGATAAAGATGAGGAAAGACTTTAGAAGAAAGGGAGAGGATTAGCCAGGAAGAACTTTGTAGGAAGAGTGAATAGCAGGTACTCAGGTCCTGTAGGTAGGCATGCCTGGAATATTCTAGAAATATCTAGAAGTTCCAGAATGGATATGTGAATAAGGAAGAATCATAGAAGGTGAGCACGGTTGTGATGGCAACCAGAGATCAGGTGAATCTTTCTGTAGGACTGCAAGCCTCTGGGCCGAGTGAGAGAAGATCTACTGGGATTTGGGCACGATTTGTCTCCTATCTTATGAAGATTACTTTGGCAAGAAGGTTTAGAATACTCTTGAGGAAGTTGGGATTGTGATGCAAATATCGAAGAAAATAACAATAATATTTATCATTCTTATCATCCTCAAAGATGTGATAGTGGAAGCTTCCAGAAATGCAATGATAGCATCAAGAAGATGTCGTATTCTGGATGTATTTTGAAAGTTCAGTGGTGAGGACTTCCTCCTGGGTTGGAAATGGTGAAGAAGGAGAAGAGGTGAAGATCTCATTATAATACCCTACAAAGACCTTGGGGGGCTTTACATGGTGAAGTGAAGGTGCAGAGAGAGATGTGGCTGTCACCTTCACTTCTTTCAGCCTACATCTTCTCCTGGGGACCATGTTCAAAATGGTGGTCAGACATTCAGAAATGTGCACCTTTTCCAGAGCTGAAGATGGTCCCACAGGTGATAAAGGCATCATGGATGAGGGCCAAAATTGGCATGGGATCCATTGCTCAGTGAAAAGTTGACAAGCTAGATTTGAACTCTCATCAGCATTGTTTTTTCTCCTACACCCTTAGCTTTCAATCCCATTTTCACAGGAGACAGACAAACTGCAGAAATTCCCAGGCCAGGGGATTAGCTCAGTGGTGTCACTGCCTGCCTCAAAAGCACAAGGTCCCAAGTTTGATCCCTGGTACCAAAAAAAGCAAAAAAACAAAAGAAAAGAAATTTCGAGGTTCTCTCTGCACCTAAGAAACTCCTACAGCTTCTTGGAAACAATTGGAGAGGTTTAAGGAATCCTGTGTGTGTTAGCTTCATCCCCCATACACCAAGAACTTCCAAATATCTTGGTATATTTATATTTGAAAGTAAATGTTTTGTAATAGGGCCAGGCGAGTTAGAACTACAGAGATGTGTCACACTCTGAATTCAATGGAGTCTTTTATTACAATAGCCTGCATTTTGGAGCCGGCTCAGGCGTCCAAAAACTCTGGACAAAGGAAAGGCAGTTTGTAGGGTCTTTATAATGGCTCTTTCATCTGGGGAGGGGTCAGGGAGAGGGGGAGCAAAATTGTAGTTTTACAGGGGCAGAATTTTGTTAAACTAGTGGGGTCGGGGAAGTTTCACACAGTTTAGTTAAAACAAAGCGTCAACCAGGTGTGGGAGTCTTTTGTTTACAAAACAAACTAACATAGTTGTAGACTGCTCTAGCAAAAGGTTGACAAAGATACCATCTAGTTGCAGACTCACACAGGATGCGGAGGTCTGTTATGTATTAACTGAGGGGACTCCCATGGAGGAGGGCGAGGGCGACAATCGGAATCACTTGACTTTATACAAAGGGAGTCAGGCTGGCTACTGCACTTTCTAGCAGTTACTCTTCTTTTTTGTTCATCTTTATTCCCCGAATTAGTGGTACTCTACAGGGGTAATTTGTAACTTCACACTATTCAATCATGTCTGAAGACTGCCTGAGGTACAGTAGGCCAGTTAGCACCATCTCAGCAAGATTTAGATGTCAATAAAGCCGAGGTCAAGAAATCTTCCCCAAACTTATATTTATCAATGTCAGGAGATATTTGGGTTTGCAACAGCACTGAAATTAGCACCCAGAAAGCGGATGCCAGGGAGGCCGCTTAATATTTTACATTCTATAGCATGGATCCCACCCCTGAAAAGCACCCATTGTTATCAAAGCAATGCTGAGGTTGAGAAGCCAAACCCAAATGCACCAACATCTGGAGATATTTTGGGGTCAAAATCATCCAATTGGCATCCAGTGTTTGGAGCCCAGGGTTGCTGCTAAATATTTTGTAAAATATAACATAGACTCCACCACAGGAAAGTGTCTAGTCATAAATCTCCATGTTACTGAGTTTGAGAAACGATGCCATGAACCCAAGTCGTTTTGTAACTATTTTGCTCACCCCACTAGCCATTGCCAGACATTTTTCAAATATCTTTCCCTTTTTTTTTTTTCCTTTCACTTGTGCATTTCATTGACAAATTGAAGGTTGGGAGAAGACAAAGGAGAAGAGGAAGAGGAGATAAGAAGTGGAAGCACCTGTGTTGAAGCACCATCTCCCACAGCCCCAAGAGCCATTAGCAGCCAGTTAGAAGGACAATTAGCAGTGTTTGAGAGCAATGAGAACAGCATTTGCATGTTCTTTTCCTTCCTGAATTGTGTTTGCAAAGAGCCGAGTTAATTACCTGATAGACGCATATTGACTCCCCAGGTGCTGGCGAGTGGCAACCTTTGTTCCTTCAAGGTTTTGGAAACAGTGGATCTCCACCAAAAGTTCCCGTTTTCACTGAAATCAAGCAAATGGGCATTGAGGACAAATCTAGTTTTTTTAAATTTAATTTTCTTGCAGCCTTATGGAGTGAACTCAAGGCCTTCATACTCAGCTATTTCACCAACACATTTGTGTTTTGTTTTGAGACAGGGTCTCACTAAGTTATCCAGGCTAGACTCAAGCATTGGTTCCTCCTGCTTCAGCCTCCCAGGATGCTAGGATTACAGGTATGTGTCACTACAGCCAGCATTTCCAGTTTGAAAGATCATGCTGCATCCCAAGGAAACTGTCAGATACTTGCATGAGCATGAGGACAAGCTTCCTTTATGGCTTTGCTTTCCCAACAGCTACTAACTAATTTTGCTTCCCTGTGTGTGGAAGCTTTGCTTGCTTTGCTTTGCTTTGGCTTGCTTGGTTTGGTTGGTTTGGTTTGGAATTTAACCAAATACATTGTCAAGAGGGAATGTGGTTTGGCTCATTTCCTAAGGACCATGTTGAGATATTTTTGAATTGTCATAACTGGGGATGAAGGTCGCAGTTGATTTTTTATTGGGTGAAGCTAAAATAGGTATGCTGCTACATCTGAAAATGCACAAGATAGCTTCTCACAGTAAGAATAACTCAGCCCCAGATGTCCATGGTGGCCAGCAAAAGAAACCTGAGCAAGAGAACAATAAGAGAAAGAGGAAGATGAATGGACTTACAAATAATCTCTAATATGTCATTGTTAGACATGATAGCTCATCTTTTCTTCTCCAAATATTTGTTCCTTTATCTGTTAAAATCATGTTCAAAGGGTTTTGCCATTGAACATTTAGTTGGTCTCCATATTTTGAGAGGGATAAAACCTGAGTTGGAGTTTAACACCTAGCAATGCGGGCGGGGGGGGGGGATACTTGGGATTAAACCCATGGCCTTTGCCCTGTGCTACACCACAGCCCTTTCTTAAACATTTTTACTTGAGACAAGTTCTTGCTAATCACTAAGTTGCCTGGGCTGGGCTCTAACTTGTAATCCCTCTGCCTGCCTCAGTCTCCTAGACTGCTGGGATGGCAGGCATGCACCTGCATGCAGGGCTTGTCTCTGGGTTGTACCTTAGTTTTGAGTACCTTCTAACTGTGAGTGCCCCATAAACATTCATTTCCTTGCTTAATGAGCTTACTAAAAGTTTGTGACTGCTTTCAGTCGGTGTAGTTATGGGATCTGATTTCTCTGAAAGCTTGTGGGACGTGTCTGACCAGAGAAATCTTTAGCAGGGTAACCTCCACTAGTCCTCATTCCTTTAGGGTAACTAAGTCATCCTGGTGTTTTATCCCAGTTTTACGGTGGACAGTCCCACATTCGTTTGGTAATTTCCTGAAGACAGGGATGGCTAGCTTCCCACGTCCCATGATAGTAGTTTTGCATATATTTTAGGAACGCTGTACCCTTGTACTTTCCCAAAGAATATGTAGCATTTTTCCCACTGAGAAAATGAATAATCAAATATCTCTTGCTATGAAATAAATACTACTTTATAGACATGCTTTGCCTTTTTCTTCAGGAGAGAAAAGATCACAGGCATAACTAACAACAAGAAAAATCTACCTTAAAAAGTTGTTTTTCAGACAGTCCAGTTTGCTCCTTCCAAGACTAAAAGTACTTTTTATCACATTTTATAAAGTTCAATGTCCACCAGAGATAGAATGACAAAGATGGAGTGAATCCATGGGTCCAAGGCAGGAACATCACTGTGGAAGGGTATAGGAAAGCAAAGCGGATTAGTCCCTGAAGCAGAGGAGGAAACAGTACCACAGACTAAAGGGTGAGGGACCTTATACAGAATTCAAAGTCACACACTGATGACCCCCACCAGGACACACCTAGAGGGGCCTGGGTGGCTCCCAAGCCCACCCAGTGGAAAATTCACCTTAACCATCATAGAGAGATAAACTGATGGCATGATACCTCTTGGAATTATGCCTAAGAATAAATGCCTAATATCAACTTATTTTCAGGCCATATTTTCCTTTCTCAATGCAGAATTGCTGCATGCTCATAGATTGATTTTTGAAATGTTTTGGGGAGATTCTGCAAAAAGCGTAGGGATAAGATATAATTGGATTTGAGATTTAACTTTTCAGATCTTTTCTACATTTACATTTTGCTTGGGTTATTCCAGGCCAAGGCCACCAAACTATAATCCACAGGCTAACTCTGGCCCATGGCCCATCTTTACAAATAAAGTTTTACTGGAACACACCCACACACATTTATTCAGTTCTTGTCCACGGCTATGTTGTCAGAGTTGTGTTTTTGTCAGAGATTATGCAGTTCAGAAGACAAAGCATTTGCTACGTGGCCTTTTACAAAAGAGAAAGAAAAAACGTTTGCCTGAGCTTGAGTCAGACTAAAGAGAACAACTTCCGTAAGTACAAGTGATTTGGAAAAGTCAAAATGGATCATTTCCGACCAGGTTATTCTGACCGTGTTTCCAAAAGTTACACAAAATAAATATCCACTTTCTAAATTCTGTGACTTGGAGCTGGGAAGGTAGCTCAGTGGTAGAGTACGTGCTTTAATACACGCTTTGTGTGGGGGATGCCCTGGTTCCAATCCCTAGCACTGCAGAAACATGAAAGGAAAGAGGAAAGGGCAAAGAAATGGAGGGGAAAAGACATGAGGGGAGAGAACGAAAAAGGGGAAGACAAGGGAGGGAGAGCAGGGCAAAACACGGCAGACTGAGGTTAGTCCTACCAAAATCGCCAGGTTTATTCTAATGAAATGGCCAACTTCCACATCTCACGTCACCACTGTGACTGCAATCACAACAGACAAATAATGAGCTACCTTGGGGTTGAGGCCCAAGCCGAGACCTAAAAGTTCAAGCGTGTTTTATAGGTCTCTCATATTCACAGCCTGAAGTTAGTTACGTACAATGTAAAACAAAAAGAAAAAGAAGTTGTGCCTGAAAAGTTTCATGGTACGGTATTTTCTGTCTGGGGCATCATGTCAATCCACCAAAAATTTCAGATTTTTCAACATCTTAGATTTTGAGTTTGGAGGGCTTCTTCGGTTTGTAGGTTCTTGCTTACGATGAGCTTGCACTAAGTTGCCAAGGCTGGCCTCGAACTTGTAATCTTCCTGCCTCAGCTTCCTGAGTAGCTGCAATTACAGGTCCACAGTACCACACTAGGCTTGGCTATTGGAGTTTTAGATTGAGGATTGCTCAACCTGTGTAAGTAATGGGCTGGAACTATATCAAGCTGAGGAATACATCTTTGGATACATTTTTTATCATTCTGATAGTCATCATGTATGTGTCTCAGCTCAAACATGGTAATGGATTATTTCATTGATTATTTCATTATTTCATTTCTTCATTACAGCTCTAAAATACTGTTACAAGCTTGGTGTCTTATCTGAGAAAACTGAGGCAGAGTTAAGGTGAAACCCTTTGCCCTCCAATCTCCACAGGTGTAGTCCCCGAGGTGATAGTGATTTGTAACATCTCATTATTCCAATAGTTTTAAACCCAGAGAGAAGGAAGCAAGGATAGCAATAAAGCCAACCTGAATAAACCAATAGTAAAAAAGGTCATAGAGTCATTGAGTTCGATTTACCAAAATAATGCAGCAAATATTTTTTAAAGATGTTTTGGGGACAGCAGGCCTCAGCTACCATGCCATCCAACGGCCATTTGTTTCTGATTTGCTGCAGAACAAATTACATCCTTTTACGAGCCAGGATTTGCCTTCCTCCCCTTTTTGCCTAGTTAGACAATGCTGCTCAAGACACATAGGATGATTGCGATATCTATCAAAGGCTGCTTTCCCATTCTTTAAAGAGACTGAGTTGAATGAAGCAATAAGGGAAAATGTGATTGTAGTTGGGTGAAATTAAAGTTCTACCATGCAGCTGCGTCCTAACTGAATTCTCCCTGACACTGATCCTTCACTTTGCCTCGCTGCTGATTATAGTGATTTAGATGAATAAACAAACACTCTCTTTCCTCACATCTGGGGTTCTCTGTCTGTGGGATTCAGGAAGACAGCTACGACCCTACTTTACAGCAGTCTCATTCGAGTACCTTCTTTGAGGTAATTGTTTAGCAGCCCCAGGCAGTGCCCAGTGAAGCACAATGCCAGGTTAAGGGTCTGGATAATCAATCAAAAAGATCTCACTATGGAAACACAGTATTAGGCAATTATCACAATCAGTCCTGCCCCGAAATGGAAATCAGTTAAAAGATGCTTGTTAGAGTCTGGATCGGAAATCTCCCCTAAAGCTCACATGGTGACAGCTTGTTCATCAAAGCAAGAATGCTTAAAGGTGGTACTTTGAGAGGTAATTGGATTCTGAAAGCTAAGACCTCATCAAAGGATTAATCCATTGATAATTCATCATTTCAGTGGTATTATTGAAAGGCAATGGCAATGGAGGTGGTAGGACCCAGCTGAAGGTAGTGGGACATGGTGCTACACTCATGAAGACCATATATCATCCCTCAATTCCCAACTCCTTCTTCCTTTCTTTGTTTTTCATCTCTTTCTCTGGTTCTTAGCTACCACAAAATGATCAACTTTCCCTCACCATGCACTTCCACTGTGATGTTTCTCTCTGAGCACAGCCCTAAACAATGGACACAACTATGAACTAAAACCCATGAAACCATGACCCAAAACAACCCTTTCTTTAAGCTGATTTTCTCAGGTGTTCTGTCACAGTGAAGGAAGGCTGGTGAACACACTTCTCTTTTTAGAAATAGTTCATGGATGTTTTTCTAGATATGTTACACAGCGAAACCCTCGTATCACTAGTAAATGATTTCTTTCATGGGTCCCGATGACTGGAAGTGAATAGTAACTTTACAATGAGAAGACTTTTTAGCCTTTACCACTAAAAAGAAAGAAATAAAAACTGGCTACTCTGATAGTGTGCTTTCCTTGTGACCATTTCCAATGGTAGGAGAGAAAGAGATGAAAGAGAGAGGAGAGAGAGAGAGAGAGAGAGAGAGAGAGAGGAGAGAGGGAGAGAGAGAGAGAGAGAGAAGGAGAGAGGAGACATGTCACTCAGGTATGAATATACAAGTGCTTGGCTTAGAAATGTGACTCTTAGTACTTAGATTTTTCTCCCCCTTAGAGCTTTACTGACTTCTGGTGATAAAATGTCATTCATTGTTAATTTTTCTGAGCTCTTGCTGTATACCACAGAAAAGATGTGAAACAATATGGGATGTTGTTTATCTTTGCTGTTTATGCTACCTTTAACATCATTATTTACAAGACTGGGATGCAGAGTTGTAGATATTCTATAGATCTGAGTGGCATGCCCTTTTCTTAAGATGAAGCAAGCAGTAACACAAGGGAATGTTCAAGTGGAGGCAATGTGTTATTTTTTTCTCCCCCTTAGAGCTTTACTGATTTCTGGTGATAAAATGTCATTCATTGTTAATTTTTCTGAACTCTTGCAGTATACCACAGAGAAGATGTTAAACAACATGGAATGTTAAATTGTTTATCTTTGCTGTTTATGCTACCTTAAACATCATTATTTACAAGACTGGAATACAGAGTTGTAGATATTCTATAGATCTGAGTGGCATGCCCTTTTCTTAAAATGAAGCAAGCAGTAACACAAGGGAATGTTCGAGTGGAGGCAATGTGTTATTGCTCAATATAGCATCACTTTTAAAAGCAAATTAGATCTCTTTTAGAAACTACATACCAAATGCCTTATTCTGTTTTCTGTCACTATAACTGAATGTCAGATGGATTATGAAACCCGCGACCTAATTACCTTCCAAAATCCCACCTCTGAAGACATGAGTCTTTGGGAGGGGGGGATGCTTTTCTCACTGCTGAAACAAAATACCTGACAGCCATACTAAAAGAGGAAAGGTTTATTTTGCCTCACAGTGTGTAGAGCTTTTAGTCCATAGTCAGCTGGCTCCAAGAGAAGGCAGCATGGCAGAGGGACATCACAGAGGAGAAACAGTCCCTGGAAGGGTAGACAGTAAGGCAGCAAGCAGCAGGTCTTCTTTCTTCCTGTCGCTTCATGCATCGTCCAGGCTGCAAGCTGGGTGGTGCCACTCACACCCAAGATGGGCCTTCCCTCTTCCTTAAATCCACTCAGCCACACTCAAAACTCTGCTTATCCAATTATGGGACTAATCCCAATACCACACACTCTTAATCCATATTCACACACTCTAGATCCAGCCACTTCTGAAAAGTGAGCTCATGAGCTATGAGCTCATGAGGCTTTCCGGAAACATCTAGATTCAAGCTACAGGAGGGGACATTTTAGATCAAACCATAACATGCTGATCATATTGAAATTGTTTCCAATACTGCTGCCTATTATAAATCAGAGCACATTACAAGTCTAAAGTTGAGTTTCAACAGAAGATTTTATGACAAGAGTGTGAGTGTGAAGTACCAGAAAAGGCATGGGAAGTAGTAGAGCATAATCAGGAAGGTAGTCAAGAGCTGTAACCATGAGCTCAGTACTGTTTGGGAACCCTGGGAGAGGAGATGACATAGACCATACTTAATTGAGAATTATTCCATGTATGGGCGGAAAGCTGGAGAATTTGTCCACCTGCTGCTTATCTGTCTTTGAGGATGGTTCTAAGGTCAGTAACTGCCTAATACCTTTTACTCGTAGTCCTCCTGGTCGAAGGTTGAAGCCATGACAAGAAAGGCTTGTGCAAGAACCATGAACATCCTTGATGCAACCCTTGGCATGG